GTCAGGGAACCGCTCCGCAAATCCAGAGGGAACAGCTGTAACAAACAGGTCATCCAAATTACCTTTCCCAGGAGAAAGGGACCTGGGACAGGACATTTTGGAAGATATCACCCTGGTTCAAGCACCAGTATCATATCAGCCCACTAAACTTGATGTCAGGGACACAGAGCTGGGGTTTCCCTGAGACATCCCATCCATCCATGACTCCGTTTGCACATATGGAGATTAGAAAAGGAAAATAAAACCTGTGTTCAGTTCCACTTTTAATTTTCTGCCCGTGATCTGCCCATATGCTCTTCCCAGCGCCGTTCCATGCAGGCTCTGATGTTGCCTGAGTGAAGAACAACGAGGGCAGATCACATTTTTCCTGAACAATGTTTATATCAGCATTTCTGGGGGCTTGTTTTATCGAGTCTCTCACTCCTCAGAAGGAGACTCAGCAGGGAGATAAGCGCTGGATGCGTTTTCCTAGCGATGCCTCTTGCCTCAGATGAGGCCACCAAAGACGTTTGGGGAAGCAATGATTCCCTGGTAATGCCTCAGTCCGAGCTCTGACCTGGAACCGTGGGCTCTGCAAATACGCATAAATCTTCAGCTCACGTCCAAATCACTGCAAGGTTCAGTGAAAACAGCAAAACTGCCAGGGAATCTAACCCAAGCTTCAGTCCAATTCAGGCGTGATTTACGACCTCAGGTGGAAACCATGAAAGGCCATGGCTTCAGCCCCAAACCAGAGGATGGTCCTTTGCCCCAGCCCAGGGGTTTGGGTGCCGAAGGACCGGGACAGCGAGAAGTTAAACAGCACCAACACGTCTCCCAACAAAGCCTTCAAACCCTGCTCGTCGTGTGGTGAGTAAACGTAGCTGATGCACAAATCAAACCTGTGTCCTGCCCGAGTCAGCAACGGGAAATTAAACAAATCAAAGAATAATAAGGGAAAGCAAGCAATGAAGTTATTTTTTTCTGATTGAAGGGTAGCAATTCACTAGCATCACCATCTGTGAGCAGTTTTTCCCCAAACGCAGAATTCTGCAACAGTTCTATGGTATTTCAGGACATTTATAATGGCAGTTTAATGCTTATTCCCCTATCAAAATATTATCATAGACAGTAGGAGACATACTTTTTTTTTCTATTAAAAAAAAAAAAAGAGGAAAGGGAGAGGGCCTCAGTCTCAGGGATGCAATTTTCTTGGGAAGAACGGGTGTCACACCAGCAGGGAAAGATGCTTCTGTTGGTCTCTGCTGGCAAAGCTCCCCCCAGCCAGAAGTAGGAATGATTATCTCTACAGAGCATTAACGAGGCAATTTCCTCTCCTTCCTCTGACCCTCGTTATCTATCCTCATATTACCTTGGAAAAGCTAACCACAATAACAATCAGCATAAGATCCCAGGTGACATGACCAAGAAGACTTTTGACCCATCTCCATATCAACCCTGCGCATCACTAGGAACCTCCAAACAATCACTCTCCATCAACCAGCCCTTGAATTTTGAGCCTCTCAGGTGGGTGGGGAGGGGAAGGATGGGTGAGGGAGGGGATTTCTGCACCCTGACCCTACCCAAAGGCAGCCTCATCGAGCTGTGGGGCTCCCAGCCTGCAGCCTCCAGCCCGTGTTGACGTGGGATCACGGCTGTAACATCTGTATCCCATCCCAGTGCCAAGTTGGACTTTTTTTTTCTTTTTCCAAGACTCGGCATCTCCCCCATGTGCATGTAAATCTCCAAAGGGAAACACTGCATCATGGGTTTTGACCAAAAAGGTAATCCTGGGCAGTATGTTATAGCAACACCTGCAACGCGCGGCGGCTGCTCCAGCCCAGACTGCCCTTCTGGTGGCACGGGGCTCCCAACACCCCCCCGGCACCCGCAGACGGCCGTCAGCTCATAAGCCCCAAACACAGACGGTTTACAACACCCCGCAGGCTTTTTGGGTCACGAGGCAATAAGAAACGGGTCACCCGGGCCAGCGATTTTGGGGGGGACCAGGGAAGGCGATGCCGTGCCTGCCCACAGCCCCCCGGGCCTGGCTCAGCTGGTGGAAAGGGCACGTGCCACATCAAGAGAAAGATGCCAAGAGCAAATAGAGTGCCAGGGAATGGGAGAAATGTCTCCTTTTGCTTGAACAGCACCAAGAATCACAAACTCTCTCTTACTGCTACTTCCAAACATTTCAGTTACAGCTTTCTCCTGTTTCTTTAAGCGACTAAAAACAAGCCCTTGCACCTCTTCCCAGCTCTCCCCCATCTCTGCTGGGTGCCCTGCAAAGGCAGCTGAAGGTGAGCGGCCCCACAGCGCTGTGAAAGTGCTGTTTTCCCATTTCTGGGAGAATTATCACCGTACCTCATCTGCTCTGCTCCCCTCTGCACCCTCCAGAGCATTTACCGGGGTCCTAATACCCGTGACACAGCGACTCCCACCTTCAGAGGGGTGCGACCAGCTGGGGATGCTCAGGAAAACATCTCTGATGCTGAACGGGTTTGATTCACGGCAGGAGTAAGAAATTAATCACTTTACCTTCAAACCACATCAGTTTCTTCAGGCAGACAAAACCTAAGGCAGTTGCCTGATTTTTCAGAGCTATTTCTCATCCCTGCGACGGCACGTGTGACATGGAAAAAGACATCACAAAAAAGCTGCCTGACCCCCTCCCTCCCTGTTAAAGCCCAACACGCCTCTCCTAGTCTGACCAAGGTTTTTCTTGAGGGGAATGTTGGCAAAAGTATAATCCAGAGGCTCACTATCTCCCTCTCTTTCAGTGCAAAACCAAAGAGATCCCCAGCTCTTCTCATAGGAAAAAGTAAGCTTGTACCGAAAGGGTTTCAGCAGGACCTACCTTCTAAATGAAATGAGATTTAGTAACAAACTTTTTGCCCTCTTTTTAATTTCAAGTGAAAGAGGGTGACAAGGAACGAGGAGTGTGTCTGCTATGGAATATTCCTGCAGTACTCGGGGCTGTGGTTTATTTTACTAGTGGTGACTAGTTCAAGCCACATTTAGTCAATAAATATGAGATATGAGGTCACTCCGCCATTTAGCTGTTACCCTGTCTACATATTTCACAGCTGGGTAGTAACCTTTTAACTAGCGTCTACCTCGGTGGGGAGTCTCCATAAAAAAAGAGCCAGGATCCATTGGTCGTGGTGGGGGATCAAGGCACAGGAGCACCACGGAGATTTCGGAGGAGGCTGAGTGGGAGGAAGGGGAAGCTTGGGGCTTCACTTTTCGCTTTCTTTCCCTGGTTTCCAGTGAGATAGCACCCGGCCGAGGAGCAGGAGCCTCCTGCATCCCCACAGAGATATCGGGCGATGGAGCAGCACATCCCACGTGCTGAGCGTTACAGTCAGTTTCCCCATCTTTCACATGGAAATGGGCCAAAAGACAAATTTCACTGAATTTCACTGAATTTTTAGAGTTGGAAGGGACCACAGAGATCATCTAGTCCAACTCTGCTCCAGTTTCCAGCTTTACAGAACAAACCTGAGTTGAGCATTTCCAAGGGGTTCACTTCTCTTATCCACCTCTGACAGGATTTAGCAGAAATTCAGGTTTAAAGGTCAATTCTCCCATATCCCAGACTGTAGCTTCTCCTCACTGCCTTTGATTTGGGGTGAGGAGGACACTTCCCTGAGCTGGTAACTCAGGGCTAAGCCGGGTTAAGACGGAGCATCCCCAAGTCCATCACTAGACATTTACACCACACAACGTTGCAGCGAGAGCAAACTTTCTGTGATGGTTACACCCTCCTTTCAGGTAGTTGTAGAGGGCAATGAGGTCTCCCCTCAGCCTCCTCTTCTCCAAACTAAACATGCCCAGTTCCGTTTGGAGAAGAGGAGGCTGAGGGGAGACCTCATCCAGGCGCTCCTTGACGGGCCACCCAAGAGAAGCATCCATGAGGCACAGAGAAGTCATTGAGGTGGTGCTGGTGGCGTGGGCTGGGTGATGGCAGACAGCCGGGTGGAGCTGCTGGCGGGGAGGGGACGTGGGAGTGGGGGGAGATTAGAGCCGGCCGGAGAAGCCGCCGTCGTATTTCACTTTTCTGCTGATCCCCAGAAACCTGCCCATAGATCATCCTGCAGGAGCAACACGTGGATCTAATTCTCTAATGCCAGGCCTCGCTGCGCCATTATCCACATAAATCCCCAAGCCTTGACACCGGCCTTTTCATCATTTAACTGGAGTTTGTGGGGAAGAGGGAGAGGAGGGAGAGATGGGTCTCGGCAGCAGGCACAGCTCCTCTTTCCTCATCGCCTTTATCCTCCTTAATAATCCTCTCTCTATTTCATCTATCAGCTGATAACATGTGGGTCCTATTTCCCCCCACCCTCCCCACATCTGAATTAGATGGCAGATAAAGTCATCCTGCGATCTGAGCCATGTTTGCAACTGCTCTTCATTAAAAAAAAGAAAAGAAAAGAAAAAAACCCCTCTCGTAATGAATGCAAGGCTCTGGAGGGCTCCCCACACCGTCCCCAAGGGCCTGGGTGACTCCGGTGTCTGTCTGTCCTTGGAGCTGGGTCTCTCCTGCCTTTGAAGTTTTGGGCCAGTTTCTCCCCTGGGCTTCACTGGCAAAGCAGCTCAGGGCTGCAGTCATTAGACCAGTTAAGGATCCGTTCCCAAATTTTTTTACTATCCTTCCAGGAAAAACCTGCCTTTTAATTACTCTCCCAGCTCACTTTATCTACTTAAACAAATATTAAATGCATTAAATAATTTCAGTGGCATTAGGAATAAATCCGTGCATTTAAGGGTAGGAGATTTTTGAGAGGAGAAGAGCATTTCATCCAAAATGCTTTTCTGTGCGAAAAATCAGGAGTCTTTTTGTTTAAAATAATAGAAAATGAAGCCAGAAAATCTGCAATTTTAAAATCAGAAGGGAGGGATTAAGGAAGCAAAAAAATTCTCTCTTTTCTTTTAGGGGTGGGAGTTAATAGAAGTTATTTAGGGTGTGGAGGTGGGAAGCAGCAGAAAGACAAGTTGCCTGATGAAGTGAAGTAACACAGAAAGTATCACCCAAACTGGGGATGTTTTCACCATCAGGCATTTCTGCCTGATATTTGTAACATGAAAATGTAAAAAGTCTGAAATGGACCCTTAAGAAGATTTCTATTTCTTCATAATTTCCATCCTACCCATTGCCAGCATTGCTGGCAGGGAGCATTGCCTTCTGGGTTCACAACAAAGGAAAATGTTGAAATCCCATAATTTGAAATCAGCTGGAAATTTGGGGATGGGGGCAAAAGCAGGACAGCAAGAGGACTCACATCATCTGAGACCTGGACAAACATTTCATGACCAAGAGCTTCCAGCACTTCTAGGTGGCTCTCCATTGCTGTGAGTCCTTGAAGTTTCTCCTTCCTAAAAAATAGAGAAAGATGATTAATTCAGCGCAGAGCTCAGAACCAGGTTTGTCCTGAAATCACCTCCCACCACCATCAATAGCATTTTGCTATTAACAATAATAAATAGCATTTGATGGTCTAAATTTCCAGCCTTCCTTCTGCATTGCCACCCACCGGCTGTAAATCAGGTCCTCCGTAGGTTTTTTTGGTGGTTCAAGCTTCTTTGCTGCTCTCCCTGTTGTGGGCTCATCCCCACACTGAGGAGAAACATCTCTGCTCCACCTGGAAGAGCTGCCCTTGCTAAGCCCTATGGTTTGGAACAATCTGGCACCAGGCTGGGAAATCTCAGTTAATTCAATTAGAGAGCAGGTCCTGCTCTTGGAAGCTGCCACACACTGGAGCTTACGAGAAGTGAAGAGCGAAGAAAAATTTAGAAAAACACGACAGAAGAAAAGATACCGAGAGGGAAAGAGATGGTGAACGGCAAGAGGGGAGTTAACGAGAGCCAGAAACACAAGTTGGAGAAATGTTGATTTTATTTAGCATTAATTGCAGGAAAGAGCCTATAAAGTGCGGTAAAAAATTATTAAGTACCACTATGCAATGCCAGCTTTGTGCCAGCCATCCCTACGAAACAGGTGTATTATTCCTAGTTCCCTAGGTATAAATAAATAATTGCTGCTCCACATCTTTTTTTTATGATGGCATTTCATTATTTTTTACTGCCATATTGTTATGGCTCCAATTCCTCCAGAGCGGGTTTGGAGATCGGCCGGCGAGGGAAGGCGTGTGCGTGTACCTGGGCTGGCAGGTCTCCGGTCACAGCATCCCAAGGGAACACGTGAAGCCCAATCTCCCCTGCCCACAGGCTGAAACAAGGTCTCACCTGTGGTCCCAGCTCTGACAACGATCTCCAGATGAATACAGAAAGGAAAATTATGGCCACGTTTACAAGGCGATGTGCATCACGTCAGGGAACCGCTCCGCAAATCCAGAGGGAACAGCTGTAACAAACAGGTCATCCAAATTACCTTTCCCAGGAGAAAGGGACCTGGGACAGGACATTTTGGAAGATATCACCCTGGTTCAAGCACCAGTATCATATCAGCCCACTAAACTTGATGTCAGGGACACAGAGCTGGGGTTTCCCTGAGACATCCCATCCATCCATGACTCCGTTTGCACATATGGAGATTAGAAAAGGAAAATAAAACCTGTGTTCAGTTCCACTTTTAATTTTCTGCCCGTGATCTGCCCATATGCTCTTCCCAGCGCCGTTCCATGCAGGCTCTGATGTTGCCTGAGTGAAGAACAACGAGGGCAGATCACATTTTTCCTGAACAATGTTTATATCAGCATTTCTGGGGGCTTGTTTTATCGAGTCTCTCACTCCTCAGAAGGAGACTCAGCAGGGAGATAAGCGCTGGATGCGTTTTCCTAGCGATGCCTCTTGCCTCAGATGAGGCCACCAAAGACGTTTGGGGAAGCAATGATTCCCTGGTAATGCCTCAGTCCGAGCTCTGACCTGGAACCGTGGGCTCTGCAAATACGCATAAATCTTCAGCTCACGTCCAAATCACTGCAAGGTTCAGTGAAAACAGCAAAACTGCCAGGGAATCTAACCCAAGCTTCAGTCCAATTCAGGCGTGATTTACGACCTCAGGTGGAAACCATGAAAGGCCATGGCTTCAGCCCCAAACCAGAGGATGGTCCTTTGCCCCAGCCCAGGGGTTTGGGTGCCGAAGGACCGGGACAGCGAGAAGTTAAACAGCACCAACACGTCTCCCAACAAAGCCTTCAAACCCTGCTCGTCGTGTGGTGAGTAAACGTAGCTGATGCACAAATCAAACCTGTGTCCTGCCCGAGTCAGCAACGGGAAATTAAACAAATCAAAGAATAATAAGGGAAAGCAAGCAATGAAGTTATTTTTTTCTGATTGAAGGGTAGCAATTCACTAGCATCACCATCTGTGAGCAGTTTTTCCCCAAACGCAGAATTCTGCAACAGTTCTATGGTATTTCAGGACATTTATAATGGCAGTTTAATGCTTATTCCCCTATCAAAATATTATCATAGACAGTAGGAGACATACTTTTTTTTTCTATTAAAAAAAAAAAAAGAGGAAAGGGAGAGGGCCTCAGTCTCAGGGATGCAATTTTCTTGGGAAGAACGGGTGTCACACCAGCAGGGAAAGATGCTTCTGTTGGTCTCTGCTGGCAAAGCTCCCCCCAGCCAGAAGTAGGAATGATTATCTCTACAGAGCATTAACGAGGCAATTTCCTCTCCTTCCTCTGACCCTCGTTATCTATCCTCATATTACCTTGGAAAAGCTAACCACAATAACAATCAGCATAAGATCCCAGGTGACATGACCAAGAAGACTTTTGACCCATCTCCATATCAACCCTGCGCATCACTAGGAACCTCCAAACAATCACTCTCCATCAACCAGCCCTTGAATTTTGAGCCTCTCAGGTGGGTGGGGAGGGGAAGGATGGGTGAGGGAGGGGATTTCTGCACCCTGACCCTACCCAAAGGCAGCCTCATCGAGCTGTGGGGCTCCCAGCCTGCAGCCTCCAGCCCGTGTTGACGTGGGATCACGGCTGTAACATCTGTATCCCATCCCAGTGCCAAGTTGGACTTTTTTTTTCTTTTTCCAAGACTCGGCATCTCCCCCATGTGCATGTAAATCTCCAAAGGGAAACACTGCATCATGGGTTTTGACCAAAAAGGTAATCCTGGGCAGTATGTTATAGCAACACCTGCAACGCGCGGCGGCTGCTCCAGCCCAGACTGCCCTTCTGGTGGCACGGGGCTCCCAACACCCCCCCGGCACCCGCAGACGGCCGTCAGCTCATAAGCCCCAAACACAGACGGTTTACAACACCCCGCAGGCTTTTTGGGTCACGAGGCAATAAGAAACGGGTCACCCGGGCCAGCGATTTTGGGGGGGACCAGGGAAGGCGATGCCGTGCCTGCCCACAGCCCCCCGGGCCTGGCTCAGCTGGTGGAAAGGGCACGTGCCACATCAAGAGAAAGATGCCAAGAGCAAATAGAGTGCCAGGGAATGGGAGAAATGTCTCCTTTTGCTTGAACAGCACCAAGAATCACAAACTCTCTCTTACTGCTACTTCCAAACATTTCAGTTACAGCTTTCTCCTGTTTCTTTAAGCGACTAAAAACAAGCCCTTGCACCTCTTCCCAGCTCTCCCCCATCTCTGCTGGGTGCCCTGCAAAGGCAGCTGAAGGTGAGCGGCCCCACAGCGCTGTGAAAGTGCTGTTTTCCCATTTCTGGGAGAATTATCACCGTACCTCATCTGCTCTGCTCCCCTCTGCACCCTCCAGAGCATTTACCGGGGTCCTAATACCCGTGACACAGCGACTCCCACCTTCAGAGGGGTGCGACCAGCTGGGGATGCTCAGGAAAACATCTCTGATGCTGAACGGGTTTGATTCACGGCAGGAGTAAGAAATTAATCACTTTACCTTCAAACCACATCAGTTTCTTCAGGCAGACAAAACCTAAGGCAGTTGCCTGATTTTTCAGAGCTATTTCTCATCCCTGCGACGGCACGTGTGACATGGAAAAAGACATCACAAAAAAGCTGCCTGACCCCCTCCCTCCCTGTTAAAGCCCAACACGCCTCTCCTAGTCTGACCAAGGTTTTTCTTGAGGGGAATGTTGGCAAAAGTATAATCCAGAGGCTCACTATCTCCCTCTCTTTCAGTGCAAAACCAAAGAGATCCCCAGCTCTTCTCAAAGGAAAAAGTAAGCTTGTACCGAAAGGGTTTCAGCAGGACCTACCTTCTAAATGAAATGAGATTTAGTAACAAACTTTTTGCCCTCTTTTTAATTTCAAGTGAAAGAGGGTGACAAGGAACGAGGAGTGTGTCTGCTATGGAATATTCCTGCAGTACTCGGGGCTGTGGTTTATTTTACTAGTGGTGACTAGTTCAAGCCACATTTAGTCAATAAATATGAGATATGAGGTCACTCCGCCATTTAGCTGTTACCCTGTCTACATATTTCACAGCTGGGTAGTAACCTTTTAACTAGCGTCTACCTCGGTGGGGAGTCTCCATAAAAAAAGAGCCAGGATCCATTGGTCGTGGTGGGGGATCAAGGCACAGGAGCACCACGGAGATTTCGGAGGAGGCTGAGTGGGAGGAAGGGGAAGCTTGGGGCTTCACTTTTCGCTTTCTTTCCCTGGTTTCCAGTGAGATAGCACCCGGCCGAGGAGCAGGAGCCTCCTGCATCCCCACAGAGATATCGGGCGATGGAGCAGCACATCCCACGTGCTGAGCCTTACAGCCAGTTTCCCCATCTTTCACATGGAAATGGGCCAAAAGACAAATTTCACTGAATTTGACTGAATTTTTAGATTTGGAAGGGACCACAGAGATCATCTAGTCCAACTCCCAAATCTGCTCCAGTTTCCAGCTTTACAGAACAAACCTGAGTTGAGCATTTCCAAGGGGTTCACTTCTCTTATCCACCTCTGACAGGATTTAGCACAAATTCAGGTTTAAAGGTCAATTCTCCCATATCCCAGACTGTAGCTTCTCCTCACTGCCTTTGATTTGGGGTGAGGAGGACACTTCCCTGAGCTGGTAACTCAGGGCTAAGCCGGGTTAAGACGGAGCATCCCCAAGTCCATCACTAGACATTTACACCACACAACATTGCAACGAAAGCAAACTTTCTGTGATGGTCCCAAGCGTAACAAGGACTAAAAGCTGCACCCCCAGCCCTGATTTGAAACCTCTGAGGTTCCAAGTGAGGGGATCTCCTGTGATCCTGCTTTGTGCCCATCCTGCTCCATCGCTGGTGTGGTCCCACTCAGAGGAAAGCATTGAGCATGAGAAGGGACCCTGGCCAAGCCCCCTGGCCTGGCTCCAGGGAGGTTTGTAGGTATCTG